TATAGAATATTAGTAATATATGGTAAGATTATAAGTTATGACCAACCTTTGAGCGACACTAAAATGACCTTGAGAATAGTTACCTACTAACTAAGACTAAATGAGGGTTATAAAGCAATGTGAAGAATTAAAATTATGATCTGCAATTGGTGGTTAGGATTAGGAACTAGATTTAAGGTTTTCACCACGATTTTTAACTAAATGGACGAAAAAATTTCGCGCCATGATCCAAGACTTGTTATATTGTGTCCGATTGGTTTGTCCATAAATTATAGTCCCACCCGATATACTAATCATAAGGGAGTATTTTTTTCAGATTGTTAGAGTTAGCCAGTAAATTACGTTACTTAACTTAGATTTCGTGCTATTTAGCACTCATCAGTAAGATGTTCCCGAAATTTTGAAGGATTTAATTTATATGGTGTTGGCTAATTCACATAGATTAGTGACCACAATAAAAATTGATTAATAGAATTCAAACATTTTAGAAAAAGACTTTATCAACGTGACACTAGTTGGTATTCAGTGGTTAATCAATGACAATATCTATTATGAACTGCTGAGGAGTCCCACAATAGGACGAGACGGCCGTCCAGTGCTTCCAAATTTCCAACGGTGGTCCAACATCAATCGGTTCGTTATCTCAATCAAAAATTTAATAATCTCAACAACCCCTATTCTGGTAATTAACATGTGCTCACTACCGATTAACTTCGTGAGGGAATTCTCGGAGTTCTAGTGAGCTAATCCGTGTCGGGCAGAGACAATTATCTACCTCAGTACAATGGAAGATGGTCGCTCGATTTCGTGAATTGGTTGATGTTAGATACTAACACCACTGAGTACCGGCTCAGTGGTCCAGTAGGTTAAGTGTTCGCGCGCGAGACTAAAAGCCCTGGGTTGGAATCCCGCAAGTGGGATCGTGGATGCGCAATACTGAGGAGTTCCTTAATAGGAAGAAACGGCTATCCAGTACTTTCAGGTTTCCAACGGTGGTCTAACGTTAATCAGTTCATGATCTCAATCAAAAAGATTTATTTTTAATTAATTTCAGTGAATGTCTATGAAGTGTTTGCTGTAAGCTTATTGAATAGTCTTTAACGTAGAATGAACTTGCTGATTTGATCTTTTCTATTCTTCCAGATGAAACCATAGAATAACTATCAACATGAACTATCTAACTGTACAATATTCAAATTATTCTTTCTTAATAAAATCATACAATTCCAAGCACTCGTTCATATGTACATCTACATGTCAACATAAACATTCATAAACATACAAATTAGCACATTGTTTAATTAAACTTAATCTTACGTGATTTTTTGATTATTATTGATGGTGTCATTTGTTAAAAAACTAACAATGATGTACATGCAGATTTACTTAACCATAATTTCACTCTCACTCTCTCATTGACACATAAACACACACGCAAATACTTACAAACTGCATGAATAAAAATAACTCTGTATTAAACAATATCTCTTTTATAAAAATACAAACATTACTATTGTTTCTTAAATTAAAAAAAAAAAGAAGAATGAGTTGACTACTGAAATTCGTTAGTGTGAACAAGTCAACATTTATTTACACTTATTTCTGTATATGTGTAGTAATGTATGTATCCATATGAAATTACATGACTAATGTGTTATATTGTCAGTTGCTATAACAACATCAAGTTGATCACTAGTTCATTTTTTTCTCATCTACAATGATAATTTTTTTTTGAGTTCATCAATGTTGATTGTTGAAACTGTAAATTAGTAGAGTTATGTTATTTCTGTCATTATTATGAATATTTAACTGTCTTGTACATTGTACTGGGATTCGGAATGCGTAAATGTGTCGTAAGAAAACAAAGACTCTTGATATAAGTTTATTTAATGGTCAAAATGAGCAAAATTATGTCTGAATACACTACATTTTAACAATCAGACTTATATAATTTGAAATGAGTAGTATTTTCCATCAATCAGTCAATAACTTACAATGAGAACACATATTTACATAAATATACTGATCAATTTTCACTCTAACTTGATTTTGCATTTTTATTAATACTGTGATATCAATGGATTCAAACTAGATAAGACAATATTATTCATAATTGTGTATCTATATCAGAGTCAACCATTAGTGTGATGATTCCACTAGGTTATGACAAAAGATCAGTTGAATTCTTCATTTTATCACCTAAATACAATGAAAATGTTAAACTGATCAGTTGTTAGCAAATTATCATACTTGGTGGTATGCAATTCATTTAGGTCATAAATTGATCTAAGACGACCATTCGAAACCTGAAAACATTAGATGATCGTTTTGTTCTAGTATGGAACTCTTCAGCAGTGTACATATACAATCCCGCACGTGAGAATCCAATCCAGGATCTTCTTTCTTGCGCGCGAGCGCTTAACATGTAGACCACTGAGTCGGTAGTCGACAGTGTTAATATCAAACCTCAAACAATCCACGACCTCGTACGACCATCCTATTAGTTTTTAGTATGTTTAATTATGTGTAATTAACCATTGTGGTACACTATCAATAGTATTTATTTTCGGCTGGAAGATTATAGGTCACTAATCCATAACCTCTAATAACTCATAGCCAACTGCTGACTATATCCAATCATAAGATTTTTCATAAAATGTATATAAACAAGGAATTGTGAAATGGATAAGAAAGGGAAAATTTATCGAACGAAAATGAATCGTATCACCTTTAACATCCAATTGTTCATTCCTAAAAAAGACGAAATCGAGTATGAATAGATGAATGATTCGGAATTAATTTTTGAATATAAACTGATATGATAAATGCTAATAAGATGCATATAAAACATTTACACTTACGACAGCCTCCAAATACCTAATATTAAAAAATATATCTTACACGATTCCAGTATACAACATCATATGGGTAATTTGATGAAATCGGTAATTTTTTGATGACAATGATCACAAAATGTTAGATATTGCAGAGTAAAATCTTATTAGTTAAAATCAATAGATTATTATTTCGATTCTTAAGAATCTAACATAGAAAACGGTTACTGAGTGATTGATAAAATAATATTATATATTACTTGAGCAAAACCACAGATGATTTGATGCTTCAAAGAAAAATATCAAAGAAGAAAGACTGACAAAACCATACTTATAGAGATAGATGTGTGAATAGATAGACAGACAGACAGACAGACAGACAGACAGATAGACAGACAGACAGATAGATAGATAGATAGATAGATAGATAGATAGATAGATAGATAGATAGATAGATAGATAGATAGATAGATAGATAGATAGATAGATAGATAGATAGATAGATAGATAGATAGATAGATAGATAGATAGATAGATAGATAGATAGATAGATAGATAGATAGATAGATAGATAGATAGATAGATAGATAGATAGATAGATAGATAGATAGATAGATAGATAGATAGATAGATAGATAGATAGATAGATAGATAGATAGATAGATAGATAGATAATTCTGTGTTTAGTGCTTAATGTTCATGATTTCAAATGATCACTTGAAATCAAATGTCGGCGTTGCTAATTTTCGTTGGATCGCGGGTGCGTACTGCTGACGAGTCCCACTCTAGGACGAAGTGACCGTCCAGTGCTTCCAGATTTTCCATGGTGGTCTAGCTTCATTTGACTCATGAACTCAACTATTAAGTTTTCGTTAAGTCACAAAAACTCAATACGTAACAAGTGGATATAAAAAAACAATGACAGTAATAAATTTATAATGAATAAATTATTAAATATTACCACTTAGATATTTCACTATCAACATCATACTTTACCAATGTTGTGTGAATATATATCTATGTATGTGTATCATGTATAGTTTTGACCTTAAATTTTCACTTTATTTCACCTGAATTACCTGATTAATGTAAATTCACTCATTTCATGATTTATGATCAAAGAGGTGTTGATTTTTGGACAATATTTAGTTTTTCATTATTGATCAGTTACAAAAAATGAAGATCAGTTAAATAGTGTTTATTATTATTATTATGCTCTTTGAATCTTAGTTCATAAGAAATATAATATTGATATCGTTTAAAGTGAAAGCTTGTTATTTATTCTAACGTAACTTACTTACATAACTCCGCCGGAGTCCCTCTGGGGGCTACTACCAGTCCCAAGCCCAGATAAAGGGGAAGGGTTGGGCATAGGGTTAGCAACCCCATCCCGTAGAAAACTAACTCGCTAAAAAAAAACGCTGACCCGCTAAATTACTTACATCTGAGTATACACGCTTAAAATAGAAAACAGTCAGATAATATAATATTAAATATATTTCCAAGATATTACTCAAAAAAATATATATTAAAATAACTTATTTACTCATTGAAACTTCACTGTTAAGAGTTCACTCTGAATTCATTTGTAGATTTAATAGTTACATTTATTAGTCAATTGAAGCTAGATCACCATGGAAAACCTAGTATGGAACTCCTCAGCAGTGCACATCTATGATCCCGCCTCGAGAGATTCGAACCCAGGACCTATCAATAATTATGAATGTTCATTATATACATATATATATATATATATATATATATATATATATATATATATATTCTTTGATGTTAACAATCTGCTGTATATATATCATCATCTTTTATACAAAAATAATATGTAAATATTCACAGATGATATTCAATCATTATATTGAATATTTCATGTAAGGGAGATATAAAACATTAAATCAACCAATAGTATGAATGGATTTAACGCGATACAAAATAAAGGAATATTCCTATTGGTTAATGAATTTCAAGATAAATGATTGGCTGAAAAAAATTTTTTTTATAAACTTAATAAGATTTATATTCATATAATTAAAAAAATTATTATTATTATTATTTAAATAGAAATTCCATATTTACCATATCAAAGTGACTAAAATTGTTTATTCAAGTAATATGAATATGATCTATTTTATAAAATAACACTAAAACAAAATGGATTTGGGATTTTCTAAATTAATGAATACAAATCCAATGTATACAAATTATTATTCAGAAATTAATAATAATAATAATGACAATACATCAAAATTATCATATCCAGTTGCTAGTTCATTCTTTCATTATAATTCTAATAATGATTTATCAACAACGACGACAACAACAACAACACCTATGTTAAATGAACAATTAACTTCACAAATAGAACAATTGAATAATTTTTCATTAATTAATGAATCAAAACATTTAAATCAATTATCTAATGAAATGTCAATGAAACGTTTAAAATTAGATAATGTACAACATACAAATGAATATGATTCATCTAGAAATTGTAATAGTACAAATTCTATTATACCATGTGATCTACGTGCTGAAAATAATGAAATAAATAATGATATGAATCGTCAATTCAATGTAAATGATACTATTCATACACAATCAATGAATAATCATTCATTAGAACATGTACCAAATGTTTCAAATTATAATTTTTGGCATAAACTCAATTCTTATCCAATATTTCCTTATCGTTCGTCTCATCATCATAATACAAGTACTACTTATAACTCTACTAATGCTACTACTACTATTAATAATGATAATCACTTATCGAATTATTATGATCGATATATGTGCAATACAACATTTCGATATTCACATCCTTCAAATAATCCTACATATAATTTGTCAATTTTCCCACCCTATTCACCAACTGGTGCACCATCTCATTATTACCATCAACAACAACAACATAGTCAAGGAGAATCGAACATCATGTCAGAGTCAAGATTGTCAAATACATTCCCTTCATTTATTACTGAATCTCAGATATCACTTCCATCATCTTCACCATTAGTTACCATGATTACAAACACTACTAATTTGCACATAAGTAATGCTTTATTTTCATCTCATATGAATAGTAATAATGTCAATGCACCATGTATAACTCTAACAGCTACAACTGTTAAAAATTCCTTTTCTACCGTATCGTCTGTGATTACATCTATTTCGGATACTCCTACCGATACTATTCATAATAATCATTGTAGCCAGAAAAATTTAAAACGAAAGTCAATAAATAATTATGATTTTAATACAAGATCACAAGAAGATATAAACAAAAATAAATCTGTTAACAATTTATATGAAACATCAAATATGTTGAAAGTCAATAATGACGAAGATTTAATTGACAAAAATTGTGAAAATAGTGAGTTAATGAAATTTTTAAATAATAATTTAAGACACAAGCACAATAAGCAAAGATGCTCACTTGGGGACTTTGAGTAGCAGGCACATACAACTGACGAGATCTAAGTAGGATGAAACGTATGTCTTGTATCCCACTGCTAGCCACAAACCAACTTTGCTTATAGCGCTTATAACTGAAGCCTATATATGTATATAATACTTATGCTTCTGATTCCGTATTAATCGTTGACTAAAAACGTTAAGCGCAGGTGGTGAGACTTAAATTTCTTCGGTTTAATCCGCAACGAAGTCATGACGCGCATAAGTGAGGAGTCACATGCTAATGCGAAGCAATTACCTAATGACTTCGGTTTGCAATCTCAAAAAGTATTTTTATTCAACATTCACATGTTTATAGTCACATGCTAAGATGAAACCGTTTTTATTATGTTAAAATATTATTGTTATGAAAATGATCGTAGTAGTGGTGGTGATTATTGTGATGATTGTTTATTGTTTATTCATGAATTGTCAACAAATGCTACAAGTTAGAACATCTCAGTTAAAAGAGTTTTTCTAATAAATAGGGTTTTGAAATGGATCTCTTAAAACTATCACGAAATATGTTGACTAATATAATTAAACCATATTAAATAGTTGGAGGAAATGGACTGTATATTCTGAAGTGAGATTTCATGTAATCAGGTATATGTATGTAAAGTATACTTGTATTCTTGATGAAATTGATGCTACACGGCGAACTTAATTCTATATCATCAAATATCAACCGTTTCTTTGGTGATCTTCATACAAAGTTACTAAGCAACTGTGAAATATGTAGGAAGTACACTTTCATTTTTGATCGTCACATTTTTTAAGAAGACTTCTATTACCAAATTCACCAAATCCCCTGGTACATTCGAGATTGAATAGAGTCAGCTCTCCCTCTCAAATGCTCTCATATGGCCATGCGTATACAGCGATTTCCAGAGAATCCTACCCACTGCTTTCTCGCGAACGGGGTGTTGTTTACGAAATTGAAATCCGGCTCTTTAAATGGGTTGGTGGATATGGGGTAGCTGAAAAATCCTGCATATGGGCTCCGAGATCCTGAGTGAGCAAATGGAGTATTGTTGGTCACCGGCTACCAAAGGACTATGTCTCCTAACATTGTTCCACTGTCTTCTGGATCAAACGTTTAGGTCGAAGGCTCGGAGAGTGGCCCCCTAAGAACACCACCTGGTCTAGTTTGTAGGTCCGAGCAGTATTCCAGCTCTTACACAAATCAAATGATGAGGTGTGGCGCATAAATATTTGATTAGCTATATAATGGATTTGTTAAGATGTAAAAGACAAAACCTAATAAAGTAATCCTTGCTCATACTATTGATTTGATTACACTTTTAAGTTGCTGACCAAATCATAATGTTGCGAGTCATAAACATTCATTGAAAATTAACTACAACTATATGGTCATCAAATACACTTGTCGTGTAGCTATTAAGAGCTAAACTTTGAACACATATTAACGGATTTAGTTAACCTCAATTATTCTCTATTGAATGGTCTACAAACACTACTGTATGCGTATGTATCAATCTCAGTTCATTTGAATTAGTCCCGTCATGAGCGATGAGTGATAGTCACCTGTTGTTAAATTACACGGATCACACAACTGTGAATAGATTTGGAAACATGCAAATTACGTAATAGATCGTATTGCATTATTTAGTTACTATCTCCAAACATAAAACGTCATATCAACAACGCCTAGATTATTACGTAAGATATTGCTAACCAAGTTATGATTTGATCACTCCATGAAACTCTCACTGTGTAGGCATTCAAAAAGGAAAGGGTCAAATAAACTTACACTTGAGCTGAACTCACTTGTTTTGTCTCCAAGTCAAAAAGAAATCTAACCTTAGTAACCAAATTTAAATTATGTTTTCATCTTTTGTTGTTGTTTGGTTGTAAATTCAGTTTTTTTTTAAAAATTAACTTGTAATCGATTACTTATCAATAGGTCATTTTAGTGTACTTGGATTATTGATTCAAAAGGTGTTGAAAAATACGGATACCAAAAACATCAAGGTTCAAGTTTTAAAGAATAATTTTATGTCAGTAAAATAAGACTGAACTAGCAGTTTAAGGTTATTTTAAAACATTTTGTATTTTAAACGATGCCCCATTACAAGTTCAAGAAACCTATACAAGATGGATGTGAGTAGTTAATTGGTATTCCTTAATTTTACCAATAAATTTTAGTAAAAAGTTTGTAGAGATTGTTGGATCTCGTTGAAGTCATGAACTGATCTAAGTTAGACTACCATAGATTCATGAATTCAATGAAATATAACAACTTACACAACTCCATACTGACAATTATCATGTGCTCACTAATAGCTAGCTTCGAGAGTAAGTTCTCGGAGTTGTATTAAGAAGCCGTGACTAGTGAGGCTAAATGGTATCGGGAGTCACCCACCAAAGACGATAGAAAATGGTCTTAAAATGATTTGGATTGGTTAAACGTAGATGTTAACACATTTTGATGCCGGTTTAGAGGATTTGGGTTCGCGCGCAAGACTGATGGGCCTGGTTTCGACTCCTGCTTACAGTTTCGCAGATGCATACTGCTGAGGAGTTCCTATCCAGTGTTTCCGGGTTTTAAATGTCTGTCAAACTCAGACCAACCTAGGATTTTCATACGATAAATTATACTTGGTTTCTAAGTAGATGATGTCATTATTTTCTGTTCAAGTTGTTTGAAAATTGGGGATGATATAACATTAAGCTGTAGATTTAAGCTTCATTCAATTTTAACATGGTTTGTAAATTGTCGACAATGCCAGGCACAGTCAGTCAGAATTATATTTTATTTTCTCAGAAGAAAGTGTGGTTAAACAATGTAAATGAGAACGTACAAATTTATTTCAAGTTCATTTTGATTAACAAAATTATGAATACTAGAAAAACAGTCTTGAAAGAAGTTTTATTAAAAAAAAGTCGATTGTGGAAGATTAATTTTTAACAGTTGAATCCACCATTGAGAAACTAGAAGTACTGGACGGCCACTTCGTCCTAGTATGGACTCAGCATTGTGCATATAAGATCCCACACACGGGACAAGAACTCAGGACCTTCGGTCTCGCCCTCGAACACAACCTCTAGACCACTGAACCAGTATCCAACGGTGTTAATATCTAACTTCAGTCAATCCATGATCTTGCGCAACCATCCATCTATTGTCTGAGGTGGATAACTGTCTCACACCCGACACGAATTGGACTTTATTAGTCATAGCTTCTCACTAGAACTCCAGGAAATCCATCTTGAAACTAGCCATTAGTGAGCATATGATTATTTTCAATAAGGGGATTTATGGAGATTGTAGTATCATTTTAAGCACAAAACGAATATCTAGAACAGATATGTTAGCATCTGTTTGATAATGATATACAAATATTGATGTATAACATAATGGAGAATACGATAGGTTATTGTAGAGGTAGCAGTCGCCTTTAATTGCTGTATTGTCTACTTTTGTTCAAACAACCAGGAAGGGCATTCATTCAGGAAATTATGCGCCTGAAAAATCGAATATATAACTAAGCTACATTATTATTATTATATAATCACAGAAAATATACATTTTCTTCATTATATCATGTGTCGATCTAAAATTTGATATTTTACATCATTAACTGACTTCAGCTACGAAACCGCTGGTTATCAATGAGCAGTAGGGAAATTCCTTTATACTGGTAGGAGATACACTAACCATGTCCATTCACAACCCGACCAGGAATTCAGTCTACCAACAATGCATATTTAGAATTCAAATTGGTTTTATAATTTCTTGGTCATAAGACAAAACATTTTTCCATTGGTTTCCGATTTACAATGATTCTTTTACCCCCCCCCTTCAGATACTTTGTCCACTTCATATAATTCTATTTGTAAAAATGAAATAACATTTAATTTGCTTTAATTGACTATATTCAATGAAGCGCTATCATTGTACAATCAAAACAATCTTTTCCATTAATATACCATGAGTATGATTATGTGTGGCAAAAAAAAAGGAAATATATGAGGTTGATAATAAAAATAATACCACTAGTAGCTGAAGATCTAAGTCAACAAATAGTCGATATTAGTTTCTAAACGGTTAAATCAACAGTTGAAATGATCAAAACAGCAAAAAAAAGGTTCATTAAATACATTACTGTTTGATACTGGTTTTAACATGTTACTATGTCTTATATAATACATATCTCGTAAATTATGAATGTGGTAATATTTAACTTATCCTATTCACAAAGGATCTTAGTAACTAAATCTTATTGATTTTTGAAGAAAAAAAACACAAACAAAGATACATTTGAATTTTATTTCTCAATTAATTTAAACAAAATATATATTTCGAATGAACAAACTAATTCAAATCTGACTTAATTAAGCGTTAGCAAAGTTGGTTTATTTCATGTGCAGGTAATTACTCGGTCTGAATTGTAAAAAAAACTGCAAATTGAAGATATTGCTAGTTTTTATTATATACATAGATGAAGGGTGGAGTGTTTATTATTATTATTATTATTACTAAGTAGTCAGAATGGTTAATGATATCTTTAGATGTTTAGGACAACATGTAAGTTTACATTGTAACCATGGATAATACTGTCTAATTTATAGAGTTCATCAAACTTTATTGATAAAGTTTACAATAAATCTTTTAAACCAAATGATTTCATGTAAACATTACAATGTTGATGTCTTTGATTGTCATTTTGGCTGACCCAAACAGTGATAAATTCACCTTGATACTGTAAGAAACTTACATTTCGAACCATCAGATAATTAACTCTAACAATTTATAATCAAATCAAGCTTCTAGGAATTAATCATTATTTATTGTTAGTTGATTATTATTTTTAATCAAAGTAAAAAATGTAGAAATACTCTCAAAACTGATTGCCATAAATAATAGACTACTATGCTATATGGATGTGGTAGGAATGTTGGGGTAAAAGCCTTAAAATTGTACAAAGTTTATGTTCAATGAAGCCTTATCAGATAGCGTATAAATTCTAGTGAGTGGTTATGACTCACGAATTTTGACTATACCAACAAAAACACCTGTTTTACCTCATTTCGATAGTTCATTTACAGGCTATAAGTCGATCACGCACAGGATCCACATCAGAATATTTTCAGTTTTTCTGTATAACAATGAAATCTAGTTCTAAAGTAGGAAGTAAGGCAGATGCTTACAGCAAAAGTAAGAAAATACTTACCATTTTATTTGGGACCATTTGATTAGATTATTTATTAATTACAGCGCTTAGTTTGAACTCTAGCTACAATTTCTATCTAATTATACTAAAACTCCAAACAATCTTTTACTTAATCGCGTAAAATAGTTTTAATATATTGTCATTCGTATAACATTTCATTGAAGATAACATTTGACTGTTTCCATACTTGCATACCTATAGTCGCACATACTCACGCACATACGTAACCAAGGCCTATAGACTTACATAC